CTGAGGACTGTCAGGGAATGATGACTTTCCCTCATAACACTGTGGAGAAGGCTTTGTTTATGACCCTTCCTCTCCCTGTCTGATTCTAGAGGAATGGAAACTAAACAACTGAGGCAGACACTGAAGATCGAAACCCTTGCTGTGGTTTCCTCCCTCCTGTGTGTCAAAGCGCATTGCAGAGCTTTGTGATCCCACTTCCTTTTACAGCGTGCTGCAGTACTGCTGCCACCTCCATGCCTGCTCCAAATTGATACTAGATTAAGGGAGGGAGGTGAAGAAGCAAACTCCACCAGTTGAGGAGGCAAGTGGGATGTGGAGTGTAACAGGGCAGTGTGTGTGTGTGTGGGTGTGCGTGTGTGTGCGCATGCGCACGCACGTGCCCACACACATGTGGCAGGGGAGCCCTGGAGATTGTGAGGCTTTGAACTAGAATGAATGTAAAGAAGAGAGATGAGCAAAGAGCAGAGCCCTGTGCTGTGTTATGATACTGGCTTCTCATTACCACAGTCTTGAGAAGGACAGGAGCCAGCTGTGTTTGTCAGGGAGGACAGCAACCATTTCTGCAGCAGCACATCAGAGCCGGGAGACAGAGGAGCAGATGGTGCTGGATGAAAAACACAGGGTGTTTTCTGCCTGTCAAGTGATTCAAGAAATGCTTTGTCTACGAAGGGCTCCTTTTCTCCACCCCACTCCCTGCATCTTTCCCCAGAAAGTAAATGATGGTGTCAGAACCTTTCTGAAGGGGAAGCTGAGTTTGGAGCATCACCTGCCCCTGGTGATACAGCCAGGATGTTCTGCCTCTTGACTGTCTTCCCTCTGTGGCCCTCAGCCCCTGTCCAACTATCTCTTCTCTACTCCTGACTGGAGTAGAATCTCTGTCCTGCCCCAGGAAAGAGGGGCCTGTCCCAGAGTTCCCCAGTCCCATGATGAGAGAGTTTCTGCTTTGTTCTGTCTCTTCCAGTGGGTGGGATTCCCACTGATCTCAGCTGAAGAACCTGCTCATTAATTGCACCAGCTTCCAGTAGAAGGAAACATGAATTTTCTAAGCCAGGCATCAGCTCTCAGATCCAGCATGTTCCCAGCAGCCCATCTGACTCTCAGGGAAAGCTGCCACCCCCGTTGTGGCCACAAAACACACTGCCTTGGCATTGCTTCCAGTCCTATGAGTTCAAAGTGCAGAGAGACCTGGCACAGCTGCATTAGCCAACACTGGTGCTGCTCTGGGTATAGCACAGAGCAGCAAGTCATGGACTTGGAGCTGGAGGGAGGCAATGGAAAACCTGTCCACACCAGCCAATAGCAGTGTAGACTGTGATTGGCTCTTTACATTGTCCTCCTCACACAGTAGTCATCTCAGAGGAACATTGGCAGGAACAAAGTATTCTGATTGATTGGCAAGGCTATCCTATGCAGGTGTGAGCTGCTTGATTGGCCTTTCTGGCTAGAGGCTGTGCTGCTAGGCCTCAGCACCCACCTCAAGACACCCCCTCCAGGAATGAGCATAAGCCAATATCTAACTCGTGGAGGCCAGGAGGAGATCTCCATGGAGGTGGGTTAGTCCCTCACTGCCTGCTGTGGGGATTTCAACCCTTTTGCTGGTGCTGTGGATGGGATGCTAGACTGGGTGGAGCATGGATCAGAGAAAAAAAGGGTCAAAGCCTATTGGGCAGTTCCCATGAGAGAGGGTCCTAGAATCTGTCACCCTAGTAAGTCTGCTCACCATTTGGCACTTCAAGGTGTTGGTTTCCCCTGCAGGGGATTGTCTACTGCTAGCGTGGGGTCCTCCTTGCTCGCCATCATTGAGACTTCTCATTAGTCCCATATTCTGGTGGAACAATGGATGGTCTGTCTTGAACATAAGCGGGAGAGTGCTCTCCCTGCCACTGGCTCACTGCTGTGGACCTCAAGTGGAACCGAGAGTGACCATGATCCTCAGCACTTCCTACCACAATGGATAAGCCTTCCTTCATAACAAAATATAAATAAAGGCTTGTGTTTCATCCCCCCGTAAAAGGGACAGAAAGGAGCAGTACATCAGATTTTTGGAGTATTTAACTTCTCTGGTATTTGGCCATCACACTGAGCCATAAATGCTTGGACAATTGTCCCAGTATTGTCATAAAAAACTCCTCTCATGCAGTCCCTGTGATCTTCCCAGTTACATTGTACCTGCCAACACCTCAGTGAACTAGAGTTCAGTTTGCTCATATGGAATCATTTCTCTCATTTTGTTTATGATGCAATCATTTTTTTCTTCCTGGGTAAGATTCTGAGATGATATAATTAGCATACCTCTCATAAAGTCCATTGATCTATGGTGATTTATGCCAGCCAAGGACGTGGGCTTTCCTTGAGGAGTCAATTTGACTGGAATGGCTTACACAGGGATGATTCTGCCTCGAACAGGGGATTGGCCTAAATGATTTCCTTAGGTCCCTTCCAGCCCTATTTTTCTATGATTCTATGATGCTAACTGTTGCTAAATGCAAGAACATTAATGGGGCAAGACCTTCTTTCCTCTGGTGCCCATTTCTAACCTTCGTGTTTCAGTGTGGCTTCTACTAAATGCTAGCATTGAAATGCAGAGATGGATATTTATATTTGTTTAGAAAGGCTGCCCTTTCTTGCCTTTAATTCTCAGGTGGTTTAAAAATTAGGAAAAAAATTGTCAGGGATTCATTTATATGAAACCACCATGCTCTTGAGAGCAGCTAAAAGCTCTGTGCTAATTAGGGCCTAATGATATAAATATTTCCTGGCAAGGTTGCTCAGTTTATGGGTACCAGAGGTGGGTTCTCTTCACAGCTCTACCTTGGGTCATGGTGTGACTCTGGACAAAGCACATTCCCCTGGCTATGCTCAGTTTCCCCGCATAGGAAGACGATCAGAATTTCTACTACCCTACGGTGCTGTAAAGTCTAATTCAATAATGGGTGAAATCTACCCCATGCATAGGGCTGAAGTAGGACTTAACCCATCCATCCCTTTGCATGGGATGATTGCCAGTTGAATGTTTTGTAAGTACTTCGAATTTTTAGTGGCTCCAGAAGGAACACAGACTTGTTTTGGGCTTCCTGTTTCATGCACATTAAGGCTGCTGCTATTGAAGTCAATTAGAACAACCAGTCTCTCTTTCCCAACTGCTGCACACAGTTACATAAGGGAGAAAATGCTAAACTGCTATGAATCATGTGGATTTGCCTTCTCTTTGTTTGTGTGTGTGCGTGTGTGTGTGCGCGCGTGTAGGGTGGGGGTGTGCTTGCTTAATTAAAAGCTAGTAGATTTAAAGCTGATGAAAGGCAGTAGTAGGCTTCTCATACCACATAATTCAGCTGTAGAACTCACTGCCACTGGAGCTGGTTGAGACTAAGAATTTCGCAGGATCCCAGAAGTGTTTAGGCTTTCCTGTGGGGAACAAAAGATCCAGGGTTACCCTTTTGAGTGACGGGACACATGTAGGAAGCAAGTTGAACCCTGTGTTTCATTCAGTCAGAGACCAGTATGAGATCTCCTGTGGGAGCCGGTTGTCCCATAACTGCCTGCTATGGGGTTCTTGCCTGTGCTTTGAATAAGCAAGCACTGGCTACCATTGGAGACAGGATTCAGGCCTTAAAGGAACTTGGAGCTGGTCCAGTCCACACACAGATGTTCCTCGTTTATGAAGAAATGACCAGGACACACTCAATCCATGTCTACTATGCTCTTGAGGGCACTGCTGTTGGGCACCTTACACCTACCTTGTGGACAAGGCCTCAGTGCGTGGAGGGCAACAGGGCAGCCCTGTCTAAACTGCTCTAGGCCCATATCCAGTCTTCTTAGAGTACAAAATGGCCACCAAAACCTTAGAGGTTTGGAGCCTTTTTTTCCTGAGCCTCTCTAAAAAGTGAATTTTTATTCCTTAAATCTGCTGGTACTTAAAAGGACCAACCACTTTAGCTACTTTATATCAATCCATTGGGAGGGTGAAAATAGATGCAGCATATGTGTGGAGATTTCTGACTGGAGCATGTGTACTCTGGGCAGGGCCATCTGACAAGGGGGACATCCAGTGTTTGCCTTGTTAGTTACATCATGGGTGACCCAACCTCTACATGAATCTGGGTGGGTTGATACAAACCCTGCCACCCATCCCTGCATATGGAGCTTGGTTTTTAAGACTGCATGCATTCAGCTGCTCGCCATGGTTAGGATTTGTGTGGGTAGATGATTGGGTATGGGTTGAGTTGGTTGGACTGGGTATGGGTCCAGTTGGTTGTTATATGCACAGAATCATTCATTACAACCAATTGAAAGGTAGTGGAGAATGACTTCCACTAAAATTGTTCCCCTTTGCTTGCTGTGCAGAAGTGAGCTGATCCGTGGAGACTGGATGCAATTACTTGAAAATGGCTTCAGTGGCCTTGGGGCTGGAGGGCTAGTATGCTGGGGTATGCATGTGCTTACAAGAAAAAGTTCTAGGTTCGAAACCTAAACTCTAGAGTTGAGTTTGCATTGGAGGTTTTCAAGGAGAGGCTGCAGGGCCGAGTGTCTGGGGTGGTTTAGGATGAGCAGATCCTTCATCTGCACAAGGGGTCAGGCTACTGCACCCTGGAGGTCCTTCCTAACCCCATGGTGCTGACATTTGTGCCAGCAAGAGAAAGAAACCAATGTGAAGACACCTAGGTGTGACTTCATGAATGTGTGTTGGGGTTTGAAGGCATGCATGTTCAACTGAGTGAGCACAAGGTTGCAAACACAAGTGAAGGTCTGAGAGAGTCTCTGTGTGTGTGAGCACACTTGCAGCATGAGAACAGGCTCATGCATGGTCATGTACTCCTACCTGAAGATAGTGGTGATCACATGTGGGTCAGAATGTCTGTGGTGATCACTTTCTTGTGACTCTCATTGTACAGTAGCTGCCCAGGACAACCTCCTCATCAATCTCCACTTTCCCCACTCACAAGGTGAGGCCTTGATGGGTTGAGATGCCACCCAATGTCTTCTCTTTCTCTCTCTTCCAGGAGCATGATATTGAGACCCCATATGGGTTGCTTCATGTGGTTATTCGGGGGTCCCCAAAAGGAAATCGCCCAGCCATCCTGACCTACCATGATGTTGGACTCAACCGTAAGTACGATATGTTCAGCTTGGCTAGAAGCTGCTAACAGTATCTGTGGGGGGAGGAGTGAAAAAGGGCCTAATACCACTGTCATTGTGGTTAGTGTTATCCTCTGTAGGGTCAGACATTCTCCAGCTGCCTCAATCCCAGAGGCTACCAATGCTTTGTGCTGAGACAGAACAGATCACTGTAGCTCAAAAGATATGCATGGCCATTACGTAATGCTCTCCTCAGATCACATTTCTGGATGGGATCCAGAAACCTGTGGAACCCACTGCTGCAAGATGTAATTGAAACAATAAGAATCACCAGAGATTGAAGAGGTTTCAAAAAGCTCTCATGTACGGCTACATTACAGGGTAAAAACAACATGCCCAAGGCACAAGCTGATCACCAGCAGAGGTCCAGAAATTTTCCCTGTCATCTGCAAGGCCTCAGCTTATGTGCAATTAATCCAGGGGTAGGAAAAATGGCAGATCCAGCCACCGGCCAGACTCTGCTTCCCAGCAGTCACCCTGTGATAGCACAAGGCCAGGATTTCTGTGGAGACCAGCCCCAGCCGCACTAGCAGGGCATATGGCAGGATGCAGAGCTGCTCCGGAGCCTGGCTGGGAACTTGAGGCAGTGACAGTGTGATCCAGAGCCAGGGCAGAACCACAAGCTCTAGCCTGCGTGCTTGGAGCAGGGATGTGCAGGCAGTGGATCGTGGCTCTGCCCCGGATCCTTGCAGCAGTGACAGTGGGGTCCGGAGCTGGGGCAGAGCTATGATCCACTGCCTGCATGCCCCTGCCCAGGTCATGCAGGCTGCAGATCCCAGCTCTGCCTTGGCTCTCCATCACACTGTCACCGCCACAAGATCCCAGCCGGGCTCTGGAGCAGCTCAATGCCCTTCCATGTGTCCTGCCAGCAGGGGCAATGCTAGTGAAGGGCTTAGGGGGGCTATAGCCACCCCAAAATTCCCCATAGCCCCCTCATAGATACCCCTTCCAGTGGTACCACTGCCACCACTGCCCACCCCACACAGGTGGTGGCAGCTGAGCTCATCCTGCTCCTGCCCACAGCACAGCCCAGCCCAGCGCTCCTCAGCCTTCCCTCAGCCCCCACCAGGAAGAGGCTGGCATGCTGCTGCCAGCACTGCTGGGGCCAGTCTCCATAGAAACCCTGGCCCTGCACTATCACTGTGTAGCTCCTTCTGGGGTCTCCATGGAAACCAGCCCCAGCCATGCAGGCAGGGGCTGCTGGGAAATGGAGTACACTGCTGACTGGATCTGGCCCACGGGCTGGACTTTGCCCACCCCTGAATTAGCCCATTGTAAGAAGGATTTTCCCCTTCCTCTGAGTGATCTACATTGGAAACTGCTGGAAGAAACAGGAAAAGATGAAGCACTGGTCAGTTCTGGGATGGAGATGTTTGTGCTTCAGTGCCTCCAGCACTACAGGGCTGGCAGCAGTCACCACAATCCAAGAGATGGAATCGGTCACCTTGAGACTGCCCCCACCTCTCAGCGCTCCCACACAACATCAGGTTGTCCTGAGCTGCTGGGGTGGGCTGGCCAGAAAACAACAATTGTGTTTCATATACAATGTTATAATTTTAAAATGTGTGTTTTGGTGTCATGCAGGACAATAAGGCTGGTTTAAAATGTGTGTTTTGGTGTCATGCAGGACAGCAAGGCTGGGTTAATTTTTTTTATCAAACATCTGTGAGTAAGAGAGTATCCCAGCAGTCAGGGCTGTATCCTTGGGTTGTGATAGTCCCTGGTTCAGATCTGTCCACCAAATCATGGAAAGCATGGACTTGAACCTATGCCTTCTACATGCTGAATCACCAGGCTCTTGGCTATTCATTCCTCTCTCTCTCTAGCCAGAAGCTCCATTCTGGCCCCAAGAAACCTGCCTCACGAACTTTCTACTGCATTCATTAGTGCAAAATAAAAACATCCTGTTTTGGATGAAATATCAGGAAAAAAGTTTTGCTCAGTTGCTCAGGCTCTTGGATCAAGTCCCCTCTGAAGCTAGGCTTTGAACAGAAGATGGATTGCAGCTTAATGCCTTCTCTGCTCCCTAACCCCACCTGGCACAGACAGCTGTGCTGTTGCTCCATTACAAGCTAAGCATGCAGCAGGCTTTGGCTGCAGGCTCAGTACAATGTGGTGTGTGTCCCTGCCCCCACCTGCTGCCAGAACACGTTGGTATTCAGAGCACAGCCCCAGTGGAGAGCAGCAAGGCTTAGTGGAAGCAGAAAGAGAAAGGGATTAGGGACAAGCTCAGAGACAGGCGCTGTAAAAGAACAGGAGAAGACAGCAGTCATAGACCTGCTGGGACGCTAGCTCGTTTCCTCTTTGCTGTGGGAGCTGGGGGCTGCTGGCTGCGTGCTCCTCACTGATCTCAGAGCAAGCCCTCATGCCTCCAAGCCAGGGGATTCTTAGCAAGTGATGATGGGTGTTAGCTCAGTTCAGCAGAGTCACTTTCTGTCACCCAGTCACCTTCCAGTGGAGGTTCTGCAGTTCTGGCTGCAGGAGGAGGTTTGCCATTGACTTCAGTGGATTTTGCCCTGGCATCACAACTGCGGCCTGTGTGGCTACATGGAAAGGGAGTGCCATATCTGGTGGCTGGAGCAAGGGTCCATGAATCAGGAAAGCAGAGCTTTGTTGCTGGCTGTGGAACAGAAAATTATCCCTTGGCTAGAGTGGGCAGGGCTGGGCACCCAGACTCCCCTGGGTTTTGTTCCCAACTATGCCACTGATTTGGCCCCGGGGGGGTGGATCCTACTCTCTTTCTGCCTGAGATTCTCATCTCCAAACTTGAAATGACCATTTTGTCACATTTCTTTGTGATGGCGTGCAAAAAAATCTGCATTTCCATTGCAGATCAGTTTGTGGAACCCATGTGTCTCTTTATCATAATGTTTCCCCTTTTTTTGCTAAATGGGTGGGTATTTCAAAATTTCATTTAGTTTTGGGGAGGGAAACTAATCTTCACAGAAACAATGCTGTGGTTGCTGACATTTCAAAGCCACTTAAATATTGACTTGAAAATGGGAACTGATCATTTTGGAGTGAAAATCCCATTTGTTTATTTATTTATCCGTCCCTTAGTTTATTTTCAGCAAAAGCCCACGTGGGTTTTTTTTCCTGGCATTTCATAAAATTGGAGACAGTTTTGTAAAATCTGTTTTTTTCCAGCTGTCTGCTTGTGACAGACTTAGGTTTTCCTGGGACTGTGTTGCCCAGACTCCAGCCCTGGCCTCTTCAAATTATTTCAAATCCTGAACAGGTGAATCCTATTAGAAAAAAAACAAACAAGGAAGGAATTTGAAGGGGCCAGAAAGGAATCTGTGAGCCTGTAATGGTGTCTGTAAAGCTTCTCGGATAGAAAGGAAAGCATACATTTTGCTTATAGCCTACCTGTGTATGTACTTAGATGGCTGCCTTTCCCTTTCTATCTGAGCACAGCACACTTTGCCATGAGATACAGAAGTCTATTATCCTCGTTGTACAGATGGCAAATTGTGTCTCTGAAGAGTGAAAATGGCTTGCCCAAGGTCATATAAGGAGTCTGTGGCTGAGATGATGATTGCTTCTAGGCCCTTTAAATTCCAATTGAGTCCCCTGTCCATGAACATATTCTGCCTACGCTTCGCCTTCCGGTGGATACTGGATTATTTTGTACTGCTCTGAAATGGGATTGCTTCATCTGTGCAGCCACTGATGCTTTTTCTCATTCATGCAGTTCCCCCATATGTGGGAGGTGAAATTGCGGCCCCATTGAAGCCAATAGAGTTTTGATTTTGACTGCAGTGGGGCCAGTTTTGCCCAGGCTTTCCAATTTGAATCATCACTGACTGTTATCAGGCAATAACGATGCCTTGTGTGAATTCCTGTGCTCTGATTGGCAGCTGTGACTAACCGGTTGGACAGCACAGTGCTGCACAATCATCATTGTACAGTGATTTCTCAGAAGTGACTATGCTGATCTCTCTGTTCTCATTTGCTAATTTGTATCCCATGGCTCTGAATGCCTCAGGATTGGCTAGCAGCAAGGATACTGGCTCAATTCAGGTGGTTTTTCCCACAAGACTCAGAGTGGTGTCAACAGTGGCTGAGCTGCACCCACACCCTTCTGCCCCTACACTTCACTGCAGTCCTCATCACTTTTGTCCCCATTACAGTTGCCATCCCAGCTCCTTGCATCCAACTCCAGTTCAAAACAAAAGAGCAGCCCAAATATTTCGTCCCCATGCCAGAGAGGTCAAGAGGGTGGTGGAAAAACATTGGTACAATGCAGTGGAGTATAACAACCCAGCAGGCCCAGGCATGTCCCAGTTAAGTAGACCAGAATGCTGTGATAGTTTCTGAGGCAGCAAAGACCCTCCAAAGTTGGTGCTATGAGGAAATGTCTAAGAGTTATTGCAATAGGCTGAACTGGGAAGATCTGGCAGATGATACTGTGTTTAGATTTACAAATTTACAGATCTCATTCAAGAGCTTGTGAGACACTCATGTTTAAAAATGCCATCTGGGCTCTTCTAAATATATCCCACGTAGTAGGTATACTACAGTACATGGCCTCTGAGTAGTCACATGGTGTTTTTCTTGCCTCAGAATGAATACTCAACTTAAATAAAAAGATTTCCAAGAGAACCTGCTCTGACAAAGGGAATTTCATACTGCAGTTTATTGGAAGCAATGAATGTTGAATCCATGCCCTCCCTCAGCCATGTCTAACCCTGCCAGGCAGGTGTCTGGGATGTGGCTGGGCGTATCTCCCTGGTTAGTGACCCCAGCTTTTACTTGCCCGTGGGTGACAGTGCTGAGCAAGTATCATGACACAGGCAAGAGTTTACTTTGCTCTCCCAGCCAACCTGAAGAAACTTAGATCTGTGGAAGTTTAAATTTCCTGTGGCCATAAGCAGTCTCTTGGGCAATATTGGCAGCCATGATTAACCAGTTGAGTTGGAAGGAGCAGTGTAATCAGTGTTCAGTGTGGCCAGGAGCCACAGGTTCAGGACCACAGATCTTGGCCTAATTCTGCTGTAAGTGTTCATGGATGTGAATCAGTAGCCATTGTCTAGAGTCTCACTGTGGGGTCAGGATGGAACCCCTGAGCCAGGCCCTCTCCTGGCCTGCCCCACCTGCCACCTTTCACCCTGGGCAAAGCAGGCATCAAATTCTTCCAGATTCCAGTGACTTGCACTGATGGGAATGGTGGAGCATGGTACCTGGGAGGACTCGACCTGGCTAACATCTTCCCACACCCTGCAGCAAGCAGCACCTGTCCTGCCTCAGCCACTCCTCTAGGCCACAGCATGGAGTAGGTAGTGAAAGATCAGACAGCCCCAGACTGGCTCCTGCAAAGAGGCTCTCCCTTCCAGAATTTGGTTGGTGGATTCAAAGCTAAAGGAGGTTGTGCCTTGTGGAAGCAGCCTGCCAGCAGGCAAAGCAGCCAGGAACAGCAGTCAGCAGGGGGTGCTTGAGGGACTGGATGAAAGCTGTCTGTGGGAGCTGGTGCCTCTGATTCTCTCTCCCCAGATGAGCAAGGGTCTGAAGAGGCCAAGAAGCACCAAGCTCAATGAAAGGAAAGGAAGAACCATGTGTTCCTAGCTCTGGGGGGAGAAACGCTTGAGGGGCAGGCCTGTCTTGGGCAGAGTCCCCCCCAGGCCTCTTTGCTCAGTAGCTAGCTATGACCAGGAGCCATCAGCCAGGCACCATCAGAGGGGTGGGGATGTCCCCAGGTGAGTGTGGCCAGGTACCAACCAGCCCCTTTGGATGGTATATTTTCCTGGGAACTTCATGATCATGGAAGAAGCCCCATCCCAAGGCCCCTGTGTTCTCTGTTGGCAATGGGGGCAGGCAGAAAGAAGACAGGGAGCTTTAGCAGGGAAGGTGCCATGTGACAGGCTGCTGTTGCTGTTGCTGCTGCTGGAAGGTCACCTTGGAAGTACTGCAGAGAGGGGAGGGGAGGAGCAGCAGGCTGCTCTGGCACAACCTGGAGAGAGACAGGGGAGATGGTGATGACAGATTGAGTAAGCCAGGCAGTGTCACCATTTAAAATCAGTATAAATGTATACAGAAGGAGAGGGGAGGAGGCTTTTGAAAATGTCTAAGGGAGTTAGGAGCACAGGCTCTGTTGGATTTGAACAAGATATGTCCCTAAGACCATTGGGAGTTTTGGAAATCCCACCACAAAGGCCCACTTTTCCCACTTGGCTGTCTGTAGCCAGACATTGGTCTCCCACCACAGACCCCTCCCAGGATGGCTGGATTCTCATCAGAGCACTGCCCTGCAGGTGCACAGCCTCTCAAAAAATCAGGCCATTGAACAAGATGCTTGCTTTGAGTCACCTAGGTTTGAAAGTGAAAGCCTCTGTGACTTGCAAACCAGAAAGAAACCAGTGGCAGGACCAGGGAAGAGCCCAGGCATCCTGGCTGTCAAACAACTGTTTTTGAGACCAGCCTGTCTCCCTGGGTCATGGGCTTGGGAAGCATGGCATAGTGAACACAGCAGAAAGGGCAGGGTATGATCAAGGAACATGGGTAAGAGGAGGGGAATGTGCCTGATTTGGATGTCCCTTACACTGGTGTGTATCAGCAGGAGTTCTGCTGATGACAGTGTTACACCAGTGTAAGACAAGCCTTGGGGGGCTCTGGGGCCTGTTCAGGAGACTGCAATACCACATCTACCCTGCCTACCAGATCCCTTCTAGACACTGAGAGCAGCAGCTGATGACCAAGGTTTATATCTGAGAACTTGTATCTCCAAGCATTTGATCCTCA